CGTGACTACCCGCAGGTGACGTGAACCCCCTCAGTACCCTTCCCTACTCCTCCTCAAGAGCTGCGCTCCAATGCGGCGTTACAGGGATTTGTAAACGGCATTATTTTAGAGCGCAGCTCTTAGGGGCCCGTTTCCAGCCTGAGCGGCGTCGGCGTCGCCGTCGGCGTAACCGGGGGGGGGTCACGTGACCACCCTCCCGAGGTCACGCGACCCCCCCCCCCCCCGAGGTCACGTGACCCCCCTCCCACGAGATCACGTGACCCCCCCCCGGGGTCACTTGACTACCCGCAGGTTGCGTGACCCCCCTCAGTACCCTTCCCTACTCCTCCTCAAGAGCTGCGCTCCAATTCGGCGTTACAAGGATTTGTAAACGGCTTTCATTTTTTTTTTTGTAATTTCTTTCTAATGGTCATCGAATGTATATCCGTAAGAAAGGTCTTGACAGTCGCTATCCCAGCGTAATCACCGTGTCCTTGTCTCTGCTAATACCAAGTTCCACAGCCGAAAATGGAAGGGGGGCTGAAGATTCGATTTATGCAGCCAGTAACTGCTGCCTATAGCCAAAACGAGTTTTGTTTGTTTTTTTCTTCTGAGGTGACAGCGGTTATATTTAGTTGTTCGTTAAAAAAATGACGAATTCGTGCATTCGGGTGCACAAATTTGTAAGGTGCTACAAGACGAACGGCTTCGGCGTATAGCTAATGAAGTGAACGTACACAGATTGACCCTGTTTGACGTGTAGTTTAAAACGACTCGAATTCATGCGGCTGGAGTAACAAAGAAAAATTTGCCAAAGTTAAGCTGGCGAAGGAGGAAGTCGACAAAATCAGGACCGCCAATTCTACAGCGAAGCTGTTAAAGTGGCCAAGGAAATTTTCGTGTCGATGGCGTTGTAAGCACAAACCTTCCGGTGAACAACTGAAGACAAAATAGCGTGTCTCCTTTGAAATCAGGCATACATCATACAGCTCAGTATCCGTTTCAATAAAGAAAACCACAAAACAAGCGTCAAAACCACATGATGAATGATAAGGCGCCTGTGAACAATAGGAACTCCCTCCCACGCGTTCCGGTAAAGATTAGGTTTGCAGCTGCTTCGAAACGGGTTTGCATCATTCGAAGCCCTTGTCTGAAGTGAAAACCGCGTAATGGATGATAACGACACCTGCGAACAATGCGAAGCACGCTCCTTCTTTCCGCGCGTGTTTCCCGGAGAAAATTACGGTTGCGTAAGCTACTTCGAGTGAAAAAGTACCCAATATATTGGGTAGTTTTTGTGGTGACGTCCCTAAGTTATTTCAAGGCTATAGCCTTGAAATAACTTAGGGACGTCACCACACTTTCATATATAAAAGGGTGTGGTTACCTACATTTCACTTGCCTGGTTTCACTCTTTGTGCAGCCATGTGTGCGGATTTTCAACTGACATCACAATGGGTAATTGCTGTGGGTGCCGTTTACAGCTTCGCTGTTCAACCAGCTTCACAGCGTGGATGGGAGCCTCAGTTTTTTTGTTTGTGGTGTAATAACGACGGCTTCTTTGCCTGAGCGGCATTAACTATGCGTTTACACATGCTTGTTTGAGAATTGATATATATGTTGGTCTATGGACACTGCAAAAATTTGCTATTTTTGTGATAAATGGGTTGCCGTGACTGGACCCATTTCTAGCATAAAAATGGTGTAGTTACGTTTTAGAAACTGTTTCCTTATATTTATGACTTTGTATGGCGCTGCTACTTGCAAAAAATAATATTAAAACATTACTAATATTCTACATATTATTGACTTGCAAAGTTAAGAGCGAAGTACTATTATTAGCTTTGTTTCTTTTTATGTGCCAATAGAATTTAAAACACTTTGGACGAAATATTCAAATTGCAGTATTTCCTTTTGGGCTGTTTAATTTTTTATGTTCTGTAATCCGCTAAACGTTTTATCTTGATCAAGCGAACCAAACTTCATTGGTTTCTATTCACGCGCATCAAGGGGCATTAGACAATAACAATAGCAAAAGCAAATAGAAGCGTTATAGTGGTGAGGCTTTGCTTTAATTCCTGGTGACTTACTAGGTACATATATTTCGAAAGAGAGTGATGCATAATCCGCCATGCACGCGTTGCTTCATTGGAAACTGTAGATAACTAAATAAAGATATCGATTTTATTTTGGGGTGGCTGGGACAAAAAGGGAATTAACACCTGACCCAGGTCCTTTACCCCATACAAGTTTCTGCCGCCTAATGGCGCGTTTATACTTTCTATGACAAGGTAGGTTGCCGAGACTGAACGCGTTTCTGGCCTGAAAATTGTGTTCTTACGTTCTACAATTTCGTTTCTTTCATTTATGAATTGGTATAGCGCTGCTCCTTCCAATGCTATTAATCTGTACTGCATGTCTTTGTGTATTCAACAAAAACATGCAGCACAGATTAATAGGAAGGTTGTCTTCGCTAGATTTATTGTGCAAGAAAACACCGGCGGCACGCATGCAATGTAAAAAACAAAACTAACAACGGTCTCAGCAAAATGAACAAGTTAAGAGCTCCTCACGGGACCGGCGCTGCCACATACCTCTGTACAGAGAGGATGGCCTACTTGAGCCGGGGAGCCAGAGAGAGATAAGCGCACAAAAAGGGACGGGTTTTGCGTACTTCGAAATCCACCAGCACAATTCACCGTGATACTGCATGCAGATGCCGCCATGAAGGACGTGGAGTATATGCTCCAGAAGAAAGCCGGGAGACGAGAAATCGCATGGTTGAGCCTGCGGTGCTGGGCCGCGGGCAATTGGCGCACTAGGCGTTACACACCTACTGGAACGCGAGCTTTGGCAGGGTCTTTTTTTTTCACAGACGCACTGCACGACAATGTTTGCGCCGTCAAAGATGAAAGCTCGCGCCAGGTTCATACGTGCATTAGAACCACAAAGCAATAGGCAGTGCATTTTATTTTACCACTGCGCTTGTTTTGTTACATCTTGCTGTTTCCAGAACATTCAAAAGGGTGTTATCTTTTGGAAAATATCGGTTCGACGATTTTCTGCTGTGAAACGATGAGCGGAACTTGGAAACAGAGGGAACAGTATTTTTGTATGAAGTTAGGAGTAATCATCCAACTGGGAGCAAAATATCAAATAGTATAGCTCAATCAAGATCTCTGCAGCGCAATAAAGTGTACACAATCTAGCTTCCTTCTCGAAGGTATAACCGCACGCGATTTAGCACGGCCTCACTTATTTTCATACCAAAACCTCATGAATAAGCTATTTATGCAAATGATTCATATGGTCGATGCCAACCCCAAGTCAGAATTCTAAACTCCCGTTCACACACTTGCGACTTCTTGGACCGGAGAGGCTAAACACCCGTTAAGGCGATTGCTACCGAAAACGGACTACTGAGACAAGACAGGCGTTTAAGCATCTTGCGTCAACTTACGATTGGACGTGCTGCTGCGGAACCGGTTCTAAGACGTAAACAGAGGTTTCAAATCCGGTCTTTTCTCACTTGGTTGCAGTCAAACGCAAGTGTGTGAACGGACCTCAAAAACCGTGTTTTTATCATTTCGTGACGGCTGACGACCGGCTCTGCTACAGCGGAGATGTTCGCAGGCCGCCACAAGAGGCTTAAAAAACTGGCCGCGTCGAAGTCGGTTGTAGTCAAACGAAAAACAATGACCTGGCATTGAAGGCCTGTTCACACACTTGCGAGTTCTTAGGACCATGTGCAGTGGATCGAAGTAATATGTCTTACTACTAGAGCAGAGGAATCGAAAACACATTGGCGCCACCTATGATCAATCGGTTCGCCGTGGAAGACCTCACGGTACCGTAAAATTTCCCTTTTTTTTCGCGCAATATGCTTTTTTTATTTAAGAAATTTTTGGTCAGTGCTATAAGCAATATATTTTTATAGGTTGTACGACTAGGAACATATTTTTTCGCAAATACCGCAAATCTTCGCTCTAGCGAAAGGCAGTTCCAATGTCAGAACATAGATTCGCCAGGGTACGAATGGGTTTTCTCGTCGTAAGGGATTTAAGGTTCTCGGTTCAAGACGCGTAGGAAACCTTACATAAATGACCAATTAGTTTTATTTGACCTTCTAATATGTTTTTACAGTCACATGAATCTCAAACGAAACTCAACGTCAAATGAGTTTTATCATTACAAACCCAATATTTATTATTTTTACTACTCACTACAGATTAAAAAGATTGTTATTATTACCCACTCAATATCCATTGTCTCGAATTCACTCTACACATTCAAGTAAGCTTTTCGTTACCTATACCCACTCAATAAATATAATTTTTCACTTTACTTATTAGACATTCAAATGAGTATTGTCATTTAAAATACAATATCAATTCTTTTAAGTTTACTCATTGTCACTTTCAATAAGTTTTATCGTTACCGACTCAATATCTATTTTTTGTTTTATATATGTACTCATTACTTATGCAATTCAGTATTATCATTAAGAATGCAATATCTGTTATTCTGAGTTTATTCATACACGCTCAAGTGAGGTCTTTCATAAGGCATTTAATATAAATCACCTTATCCACAGTGGAGAAATTTGATAAAGGCAAAGGTGAAGATAATCATGAATGAAGATTGCCCGCTGTTCAGAAGGCATTCTCCTTAAATAAATTCATACCCGAAATTGCAATCAAATAACTTCTCATACGTATTAGCCATTCATTACCCCCTCTATGAAATAAAAATAATTTATTCAATTATCCCTCACTCCAACTTGCACACTGTCTCGGGCAATCAAAATGGCACAGGGATAGAAAAAATGACTCATTATACAGCATGAGCTTCCCAAACTTCGCTACGCACGCAATCAACTAAAATATAAAATATACCCTGCCACCACCCCGGTCCCTTCCCCATTAGCACTTGGCTATACCACAAGTCTGACCATTTGAGTGCACAAGCAGTAACATATTGAAATTAACTCTGAAATTTACTTGCCCTGGTAATGACAACAGAATGTTTTCCAGGCACTGGCTGTAACTACAATTAAGAGCCTGGCTACAATAATGTTTTAATGACTTCTTGTTGCAATCGATTCAATCTACTGTGCTTACATTATCTCAGGAGTGGCCAAAGTGAGGCTCGCGAGCCGCACGCGGCTTTTTGCGGGTCCAAGTGCAGCTTGCGGCTCCCTGGAAAACGTGTCCCCTAGACGAAAAGGGTTCTAGAATTTAGAAAGAGCTACAAGTCTTGGCAGCCTGGCAACACACTACATATATACACCTGGAATGCTTTTTACCACATAGATGCGTCGAGTGACGCCTTTTCCTTTATTGTTCTAGAAAGACTTTCAACCGTATACGCATAACAGTTGTCAGGGGCAGTGACTGGCTAGTGAATCGTGTATTAATTTTTGCTTAGCAGTGGAAAGGACCTTCTGATGCATAGTGTCATTTGTTGTTATCGCCCATTATACTTGTCCTCTATGGAAATAACTGTTCCCTCCATATTGTTTCTTGTTAAAAGTAGCCCCCCCCCCTTTCTTTTTTCCAGCGACTCTAAACTTTCGTAGTTTTGTCTGCGGCTCTAACTCCATGTCACTCTGGCCACCCCTGCACTATCCTAAACTCTTTTAATGTATATTATACACTGAATGAAAGTGAAAAGTTTTTCTATTTTACCATTCCTTCCTTTTCTGGAGGCCGATGCTAGGATCCACGATCTCATTCTTTGCAAGGATGTCCTCGTCAGCAACTGAAAAAAACAATTTCACATGAAAGAGGTACAGAAACCAAATTCCAGCGCTCATTTTATCACTTTAATGAGTTGCAGGTTTCAACATAACCTCAAAAATACCAGTCCTTTGCTGAAGGGCACAAGCAAACTAATTTTAAAGCTAATCAAACAATCTTTCAATGTGCACCTGGTGGATGCATGTGGAGCCTATTTGGGAGGTAATCTAGCAACATTGGGGAACTTGCTACGTAGTCATGACGTAGGAAGGACATTCCTCGGTCATTCTGCTCAGCAACAGAGCGCAGCCACAACAGTAGAGTAGAGAGCTCTTTGCCGTTTATGCCTTCTTTCTCAGCATTATTGTTTCCACCCTTTATGAATGAATACCCTCTATGCAAGATATAAGCCATGTGTTGCATATGACATGTTCGGCTCTATCACCGCACAGCAAACTTCTTTAATATACTGCAGGTTCATTAAAAAAGTTACCTTTTTAATGCTAAAGCATCGGTTCTGTTAGTACGGTAAACCTACGAGTACCCAGAGGTCAGGCCATAAATGACTTACGTGTTAGGCAGTAGGGCCCTACAGCACCTCCCGCATCGACAGCCGAGCCGCAGGTAGTCCTGCAATTGATAGAGCAGGGTAAGTCAGAGAAAGGTGTTTCTAGCAGCTCTGCCGGTGTGCCCCCAGCAGCATTACTCACGCACATTGGGGTGTAGGCAGAAAGCATGGCATTCCTCATCAACAAATCATGACAACACATTGTTGCCGGCATCAAACTGGATCCCTGTGCTATTTTTCTTTTTTTTGTGATTTAGCTGATTCTTTGTCTTCCTTGTCACTCCCGACTGCTTTACTGGCCTTTGTGAAATAAAGAAGGATTGGTAAACTGCAAAGTCTTGACTGAGTGGTGAAACAGAGCAATCCCAAGGAAGTATAAATGTTAAGGACTCGACACGACATTACGCAGTGTTGGGATTCCCAAGCTGCTTTCCACACTCACATTTTGTGCACGACCAGCTCTTTCTGCATCAGTTTGATTGGTCAGTTGTGTGCCCGTTTCGGTCGCTGCTAGCCATATGTGGCTGGCGCTGCTTTTGAAAGCCTTGCAACATCGTCACTTTCAGCTTTTGTCCTGACATAAACCGCCTCTAAAAATTTAATTAGCGCTAAGATTTAGCTTTTGGACACTCCCAGAAAAAATAGGCTGTACCACATTACATAGACAGGTAATGATATTCTGGTGACAAAATTTCCACAAAAACTGCTTGGCGTTAGAGGGCACAAGGGCTGACGTTCCTGGGAGGAGCAGCTTTGTGTGAACTTGCAGATGCTTCAGCTGCCTGTTTGCGCCTGGCCAGTTCAGTTGTCATTTCCTCTTGGGTTTCTTGTAGGTACAGTCGGGGACAAAAGTCTCCAGGACACGCAAGCTGCGACTGAAACGCATTCCTCTGCCATCTGCCGGCGGGTCGCCTGGTTTCGAGATCACAGAAGGGCGGACGTGCGTCCTATTGTACCTGCCAACGTGTGCGCTTTCCCGCTCTGCTGCGGCGCGGCGCCTAACTCGGAATCGGGCGCGTGGTACTACTTCGGAGATAGTGCTTACTGACATGGCACCTATAAAGCAAGAAGTCACGGCAGCTCAATTAAGCGATAAGCTGAACTGGTTATAAAGCAAGGTGCGCTGACACGACGAAATGCAACTCAATGCCCCAGGCGGTATCTCGAGTTTTGGAATGTATAGCAGACGCTCGTCAGCCGCCAGCGCTATCTCCGAGGCAGTACCATGTGCCCGATTCCTAGTTAGGTGCTGTGCCGCAGAAGAGCAGGAAACGGACATGTTTGCAGGCAGAGTAGGACGCGCATGCGCTTTTGTGTGATCTCAAAACCAGGCGACCCGCCGGCAGGTGGCAGAGCAATGGGTTTCAGCCGCAGCTAGCACGTCTTGGGGACTTTTGTCCCCTACTGTACATTTGTGATCATGAATAAATAAATTGGTCAAGAAGCAATGGCAGCTGATGCAACATCAATGCAAGCCATGTATTATATGACTCGCATGAATTGACATTGAATCAACCACGATTGTGCGCCTAAGTTTGTGCTGCGGAGCGCAAGAGTTTGGCGCTCTGTTCATTAAATGGACAGAAGCGCCACCAAAAAACTGACATTCAAGCGTGCTCTTTTTGCACCGAGTATTTCTCGAAGTGCAAGTCATTTCTTCGCGCTGACAGAAACGTCGCCGAGACGAGGAGTGCAGTGGATCACTGCCTCATTTCAGTTGAAGAATGCTTAACCCAGCGTGTAAAATGATTTGATTTCAAAGCCAGGACCATTACGAAAAAGGTTTGTTTCTGAATCTCACCTGAAAGCGAATTACCCATCGAACAGTAGTGTTATGATGGTACAGCGACAGAAAAGTTGTCGAGATGAGAGGACAGTCCGATCGCTGCCCTTTGTAGACTGCACAGCCCTGCGAATAAAGATACTTCGATTGGAAAGCGAAAACGTTGCGGAAAACGTTTGTCCATGCATCTCGCGTGAAACTAATTAATGTGCTATTTATTGAACGGTGGTGTGCCAGTATTGGAGCAGCACATCGACAGGTTCCGTCTCGCGCTGGAAGACGGAAACCCACGATATCTGACAAGTTTGAGAGTTTCTTGTTTTGACAAGCGAGTTCAAGAATGTTGTCTTTCATTTGAATCTAAACAGCATGCCTGGTCAATAAATAGATCGGTCAAAGTAACATTCAGCATATCTGGTCGAAGCGAGTCTTCAGACCTTTTACAAATATTAACATTCGTAAAAATTTCCTAACGTCGCCGCGGAATTCTTTTCTTTTTTTTTTTTTTTTTTTTGGGGGGGGGGGGGGGTTTACTTTACCATTTTACAGAGCCCTTAATTAATTTATCTTCAAAATAATTTTGGCATCCGCGAGATGCTGGGTTTGTCATCACACTGTGGTCGGAAGTGGCTCATACAGCTCGCCGACAGCTTCGGTGTGTTGTGCTACTGTACGCTATGCTTCGTTTAGTTGCTGCGCTCGGAGTGTGAAACTCGGAACGGTGGAGTACGAGTAAATTAGCGCGGACTTAAGGCACAGGAGCAATGGCGGCTTGTAGGGTGCCATATGATGTCACGTGCAAGGCAGTTCAGTCCACACGCTCAACTGAAGTATTAGCCCATGCATTCATCTGCCTAGCTTGGTGCCCAATATAAGCAGTCTACAATATTCACTTTTAATTACAGTCGCAATAAAAAGAAAGAAAACGGCGATTGCTTGTGGCTACGTCGCACTTTGGGATGGTAAAAAATACACACTCACCCGTCAATTCGAGGATCTCGGCGTCGTAATAGCCTCCTCGAGTGTTCGCGTCGCCGTCCCAAGACACCTTGTACGCCGTCCTACGCTCGAAGTCGACCACATTCGAAGGATTACAGTTTTTAAATAAAGCCCTGTGGACGTCGCTTATTTCTCCGTTCTCGCAAAATCGAGTGAAACCTACCGAAATATCTAAAACCTCGAAAACACTCCACGAGGAAGGGTGAGGCTGCCGAGGCAACAAAGCGCACGAAACAACTGGATTTGGATTTGGATTCGAAGCTTTTGAAGACGCAGTTGTTCGAACGGATATAAGCGGCGAACGTTTTTCAAAATATAAAGTATACATTAAAATTAACGGATCGTTGAGTGTCGAGCACTGCGTATGAACTTGAATGAGAACATTTTTGAGAGAAATCTGTCAAGTGTGAACACTGCGTGTAAAGAAACTGGCGCCGCAAGTAGCCGATGCGTCGGCAGTAGCCGATACATTAAAGACTAACTCATAATTTACGCGACCCTCGGCAGCCCTCCGCCCGTGGGGAAGACGACGAAGTGTTAGTAAGTGAAGCCGGCTTTTTGCTTGTCCTCAGTCAAAATAATTCTAGGGACCCGGGTTCGTCCCGGGTACCGAAACACTCGCAACGTGGCTCTTCGTGAGCGAAGCAAGATGAGCTTGAAGGAGAGCAGTTCGACGGCACTAGGTGACCGGGTTTCTCAACGGGCAGCGGAAAGCTCCCAAAAGTATAGGATCATTCTTCCTCGCCTACCTTCAGGTATTCTTGTTACTAGTTCTTTATTTCTTCATGCTGATATGACCGGAAGACCGTACAAAGCAACAGACTTCAAGGATGTGTTTTTTTCGATCATTGATCGGAAAGACCTAATAGGCTTGGGCCCATACCAAATGAGCCACGTTTGGATGGCAGTCTTTGCAAATGGAGCAGCAAAACTCAAGATCAAGGCATGTGAGGAGCTACTCGTGAAACAGAAAAGATGCCTTATAATCGACTTCTGCAAGGAAGAGATAAAGCTGAAGCTTCTATGGCTTCCAATTCCTCTGCCAGACAGCGAAATCAAGAAAGTCATTGAGCCGTTTGGCACGGTCAAGGACATCAAAAGAGAGAGGTGGCGGTTTTCAGACCTTGAAGAAATCGAAACGCTGACACGTGTGGTGACACTGGTCCTAAAAGAACACCTCACGGTGGACAAGGTACCGCACACTCTGACCATCTTTGGGGTAAACACGCTTGTGGTCATCCCGGGAAGACCTCCTCTTTGTCTACGATGTAAATCCATCGGTCATATTTGCAGACAGTGTCGCACCCCACAATGCCATAACTGCTGGTGTTATGGGCACGAGAGCGAAGAATGCGTGGTTACGTATGCGTCGAAGCTTTTAGGAAAGTCATCGCCGGAAGCTGACGTCAACGAACACATCATGGACGTAGAGGAGATGTGCAACAACGATGATTGCTCCACTCAAGACCCTCCTGACACGCACCGAGAGGTTACTATGTCCGATGCTGAGGTTTCAGAACATCTATCTGGAGAACAGACTCCTAACGTCGATAAGGAAGTATGCCCGGTGCAGGGGTTACAAGCAAGCCTCGGCGACGACGTCCCAGCTAAGAAGAGTAAGGACGCCAGAAAACAACCGGTACAACCACCAAAAACACCAGAGACTGAGACGAAAGATGACCGGGTATGCAAAAAACCCAAACTGACGGCAACTGACCGACATACTCTTGCCGAGTCTGTAACACCCGCAGCTTACTTGTCAGTAACACAAGAGCCACAGACAAGCTTGGACCTACAAGAACAAAGAGGAAAGCCTAAATTTAAAGATCGAGCGAAAACAAGTCTAGCCCGGCCGGAAACTAACCCTAAACACGACTAGAGTAATTGGTGGCACCGCTCAGGCAAGCCCATTTAGTATTTCTACCCTCAATGTCCGGGGAATCAACTCAACCAAAAAACAGTACCAACTTTTTCGCCTTCTAGAGACCTATGACTGTGACATAGTAACCCTGCAAGAAACTAAAGTGCCAAAGAAAAATTCCTTGTTTTCGGCTAATAGTGTATGGATGAATTGCTATGATATATTCCACTGTCCAGCAATTGACTATTCGGCCGGATGTGCTATTTTGTTTAAAAAAGACCTCCAGTGCAGAATGTGCAGCGTGCTTGAAAGCGCAGATGCCGGTAGACTTTTGGTCGCTAACGTGCTTATTTACAACCTTCCTTGGCGCATCATTGTAGTGTATGCCTACAATGATGTGAAGCAGAGAGAATTATTATTTAGTCAAGTGCGAATACATGCTGACACTAGGTTTAACGTAATTCTACTAGGTGATTTTAACTGTGTCTTGAATGTTAGAGACAGAACACCTACTAGGAAAATTGAAGACCACAGTACAAATATCATAAAAGCTACCATTTGCGATTGCGACATGTTTGATTCATCGACAATAGATAGCTCTCTTAAAT